TGAAACAACATGTAATAAAGGTTATAGTTTTTCAAATAGTAAAAAATAACTTATTACCCTCACAAAATTAATTTTATATTAAAATTAATTGTAAGAAATAAAATTTACAAAAAAAAATATAGTTAAAGGTCAATTTGACCAAATATAATGAAATTATTAGTAAAAAACTAATAAATTACATAGATTTCTCATCAATTGAGAGTTACCTTCTAAAGGCCCTAACCTTTTCTCTTCCTCCTTCCTGAACCCAGAATCCATAGAGAGAGGAACTCTCATTCTTCACTCTCAAACATGTTCTTCCACATGGTATTGGAGCGCAACATGCAGCCGCATCCGCACCACTTCAGCCGCAACGTCCGTGAGATTTCATAAAAATAGAACCACTGTGGAGGATCCGTTGGATTGTAGATAATTAAATTTAGTTGGTTAAATTTTGTTGCAACTAAATCCTAGTTTTCTTGATGATAAATTGGATGGTTTGTTGGTTTTAAGTTTTAACCCCCCCTACAAAAAGAAAAAAAGAAAAAAAGTTGGGAATGTGTATTCTGATTTTTTTTTTTACAGTAAAAAATGATTAAGTAAGTATTAGTATCTGTTGTGCTATAAGAAAGTCGAATTTCAAAAGTAAGTGCATTCCACTTACTATGCAAAAAGCAGCGTAGCCACCAGTGGCCACATGTGGTCTGCTCTGATTTAAATTATAAATAACTAGCCTTTTTCTCTGTTTATATGTATTCTTAATTTAATTGTTAGACTCTTTCCTTTGTTCATATGCATAATGTATTCTGCATCTATATGTTCCATATCAATGAATAATAGATGGCAGACATTAATTTGATTCAGTTAATAATATAATTCCAATGGCCTACACTAATGTGGAATGAACTCACACTAGAAGAGGATTGTTATCTTAATGTTTTATTATGCCATCTATTTCTGGTGCTGTAGTGTAGCTCATCTCACCTAATGACATATGTTCGAAGGGGTTGCATTGATCAAAACATTTATATATATCATGAAAAAAAAAAAAAGAAAAAGAAAAAGAAAAGAAGGAAACATGCCTACAACTTCCAAAATTACAATAAAGAACAAAGTCACAACATTGCTGAATTTTATTGAGAAAGAATACCAAAGCAGGAAAGCAGACAGAAATCAACACCATTAATAGAAGGCTGTATCGGGGAAGATAGACATACCTTACTACGGGCCAAGCTACCCCACACAGTAGACAACCCAGGATAAACAGGTGGTTGACGACCCCCAAGTCATCAAAAGCATAATCTACTTAGTTAACAAGAAAGCGATTACAGTCAGCATCATCAACTGACTCCTGCTGCACCCTACAAAAGGATATAAAAATCCTCAGTTACTTTTTTTATCAAACAAAAAATCAGAGC